ACACACACACACACACACACACACACACACACACACACACACACACACACACACACACACACAGAAACAAATGTACTATGTTTTGGGTGAAAGTGATGTTGTTGCTGTGACCCCTGGAGGACAACAGTGTGAACAACACACAACACACACTCATGATACAAAATGGGAATCTTTGTTTTTAAAACAAGAAAACAAAAACTAATCTAAAGAAGAAAATCATCTAAACAAGAAAAATGTCTAACAGTTTAAACAATATGTAAAGTACATGACAATGGTGTGAAACTCAAAAACATCTTTTAATACTACAGCGCCCTCATTTGGCTGAAAACAAAAACTACTGCAGGCTGAAAAAAGTTGGACAACATTTGCAGATATTCTGTCTGTTTGATCTGTTGAGCTCAAGTTGTCAAAGATAATCTGTGCGCCACATCTGTTCAGACAAGAGATGCTGAGCACAAATAAAATGGAGCCAGAAAAAAACAAAGAATTTTTACAAACAACAACAACTCAACTTGTACCATGACAGAARCTGATGTTAATGCTAACAGATAGCCACAAGATAAACACTTTGTTTTRTGATATAAGTCAGGCAGGAAGTTCTTTTAAACCAGTATTTTGCATATTTTGGTCATCTGATTACCCAGTCAGGCATGTACATTTCAAGACTTATAAACAACTTCATAAATCATCAGCATGACCTAGCTGTTTATAAATATGAACTGAATAAATCATTTTTTTTACCAGAACAAACCAGTAAACAGAAAGAATGAAACACCAGTACATGAACAGTTACACCCATATAATAAGTTCAAATGAAGGTCATCTTTTCTTTATAAACTTTGCATTAACAGTTAAAAGCAATGATCTCTTTTTATCCTGTGCCTTATGTAACTTGTAGCAACACCTGCACTGATTAACGGTGTCAGCTGCAGTGAGGCTCTGATTCTTGGATTTATTCCCAATCCTCAGTTTGAGTAATAAAAATGTTCTGTTTGTGTCTCAGCTGGGAAAAGCTAGGAAACAACACTGACATCCCAGAATAACCAGCCTTCAGTCTCAACATCAACTGCTACGGGTTGATTCTTCAAAAAGGTCTGTGCATTTAGAGAACTCTGAAGAAACAAGGGGTGGGGTTGGGTTGGGGGGGGGCAGAGTCGATGTTAAACATGAGTAAACAAGGACTTCCTCCCTGAGGGTCAAAATCTGCACCTGGTTTTCTCATTCCTGCTCTGCAACAGAGAGCAGCCGTGGCCCAGAGGAAACATGGTCCTACAGAGCAGCTCCAAACCAACAGATCTGTTCTGAAAGGTGGTCCAGGTGGTCCAGGTGGTGTGACACAGCTTTCAGGTAATTCATGTCAGGCGTCGCAGCTTTCCTAATGTTTACATTAAGTCCTGACTCAGCCCACGGAGACATACAGGCTTGCAAAAACATGAYCAGGGAAAAAAAACAAAACACACTCACAGCTGTCACTAAAGCAAATTAACTGTGTTAATTAATTAATTAAACTGTGCGTGTCACGGCAATGTTTCTGTGATAACAGCGTTCCTACAGATAAGGCAAGTTAAATTTAGGACTTTTTAAGACTTCTTTATTGCATCTGGAAATTAAATTTAAGACCAAATTCACAACAAACCCAAATGTAAAAAAWGCAACAATTCTACCCAAATGTTTATTTTTAACACAGATGTGAGAGGTATTCTGTTAATTATTAAAAAAGTAACAATTATTTTAATATTTGAGACAAATTGCAATCGTCCTTCTTACAATGTGTAATGTTTTTAAGACCTCTGAAAGATTGATTTGAGACATTTTAAAGCTAATGAAGGCCTTGTTTAAGAAATGATTAATTCAATGCCTTGTAAAGGGGCAATATCATGTAAAGTCGTGAACACTTCACTCCGATCTTGTATTCTCTTCACTGGTTGCCTGTTTCTTTTAGAATTGTTTTTAAGATTTTGTTTTTAGTTTTTCAATGTCTAAATGGTTTGGTACCTCATTATCTCACTGAGGCTTTTACAGCCTCACGTTTCAAATACTGTAGAGATCTGTAAATCTAAAGCTTTTAGTTGTTCCCAGGTCTGGGCTTGTGACCAGGGGAGACAGAGCC